TATGGGTCCTTATGGGTCTCCATGGGTCAACAGTGGGTCCCTGTGGGTGGCGATGGGTCATCATGGATCACTATGGGTCACCGTGGGTCCCTATGGGTCTCCATGGGTCTCCATGGGTCTCTGGGGCTCACCAAGGGTCCTTGTGGGTTGCTATGGGTCACCATGGATCACTGTGGGTCACTGTAGGTCCTTATGGGTCCTTATGGGTCTCCATGGGTCAACAGTGGGTCCCTGTGGGTGGCGATGGGTCATCATGGATCACTATGGGTCACCGTGGGTCCCTATGGGTCTCCATGGGTCTCCATGGGTCTCTGGGGGTCACCATGGGTCCTCGTGGGTTGCTATGGGTCACCATGGATCACTGTGGGTCACTGTGGGTCCTTATGGGTCCTTATGGGTCTCCATGGGTCAACAGTGGGTCCCTGTGGGTGGTGATGGGCCATCATGGATCACTATGGGTCACCGTGGGTCCCTATGGGTCTCCATGGGTCTCCATGGGTCTCTGGGGCTCACCAAGGGTCCTTGTGGGTTGCTATGGGTCACCATGGATCACTGTGGGTCACTGTGGGTCCTTATGGGTCCTTATGGGTCTCCATGGGTCAACAGTGGGTCCCTGTGGGTGGTGATGGGTCATCATGGATCACTATGGGTCACCGTGGGTCCCTATGGGTCTCCATGGGTCTCCATGGGTCTCTGGGGGTCACCATGGGTCCTCGTGGGTTGCTATGGGTCACCATGGATCACTGTGGGTCACTGTAGGTCCCTATGGGTCCTTATGGGTCTCCATGGGTCAACAGTGGGTCCCTGTGGGTGGCGATGGGTGATCATGGATCACTATGGGTCACCGTGGGTCCCTGTGGGTCTCCATGGGTCTCTGTGGGTCATCAGTGCATTGCTGTGGGTCACCATGGGTCCCTGTGGGTTGCTATGGGTCGTTACAGATCGCTGTGGGTCACCAGTGGGTTTATGTGGGTCCCTGTGGGTCCCCACGGGTCCCTGTGGATGGCCAAAGGGCTGCTCTGGGTCCTTATGGATTGCCGTGGGTCACCATGGGTCGCTATGGGTCTCTGTGCGTCACCAAGGCGCTGCTATGGGTCCCCACGGGTCCCCGTGGGTCGCTACGGGTCGCCTTGCGCCCCGCGGGGGCGCCCTTCGCCTTCCGCGCGCGTTGTCCCTGCGCGGCTGCCGTCGGCGCGGGGCGGGGCCTAGCAGGGAGGGGCGGGGCGCCGCCCTGTGGC